GTTTATAGTTCATAATGCGTGATCAAAACCGAAAGTTTCTGTGATGACTGCCCTTGCACTGTTCACCATGTAAGAACTTATTCACTATGTAAGAATTCGTTCACTATGTAAGAACTTGTTCGTTATGCTTCAGAAGATTGGAGACTGACGAGAATTAGGCTTGGGGTGGATTAATGATTGTGCATTGAGTCCCCTATACAGAATTTTATTGTTGTTAACAACCATTTGATAAATAAATATGAGAGATGCCCTCTCAAAAAAAAAATACACTGTGTTGTCTTGCATCTCATACACGTAGGCATGGGGGCTGTAGATCTCTATAGGAGCTCTGGTATAACCTTATTTCCTAAGGGCTGATGGAGGGGGGAAAGTGTGACTATAGATACTGCTGTTGCCTTGAGTTTCCGGTGACTGGTGCCATATTCAAATTAAACATTCACTTCAAATTCTAGGATTCTTTTGCAAAAAAGTAACTGATTTAAATATCTGCATTTGAGATCCTTACATAATCAGTTTTATTTCGTTTGGCTTTAACCTGAGTGCTGTTAGCCTTCTCCAGCAGTATCAAATATTTATGTGTCTCTCAAGGAGGAGGAACTGTATTTTGTGTATGCCATGCAGAAGTCACAGCAGTTACCTAACAGCATAGCTGAGACCAAGAAGCCCTGGGTAAGAAAGCAGGGCTGATCAGAACATGCCTACGGAATTCAGCAGTGTCTGAGCAGCACAATTACAGCTTTATTACTATGGATTCTGAGGTCACGTGTGAGCGCCAGCTGTAATCTTTTTCTGAAGCCCGCTTCCAGGCCCTGCTGCAGTGCAAGGCAGTCCAGGGCAGTCAGTGCAGCCCGACACGTGGTCTCCTGCTTTGCCTCTGCGCGCATGCCAGGAGCACTTACGTTAAACTGCAGTGTTCATGGTGGTGGTTGGAGTTAAGCTTGCCTGCTGTGAAGGGAGACCTAATACATGGCTATGACGTACATCCTGTATGTATGTCTTTTTTTTACAATGGAGTATTATTTATTCAACAATAAAAAGAAATGAAGTACTGATAAATGTTACAATGTGGATGAACCTTGAAAACATTATGTTAAGTGAAAGGACCTATTCACAAAAGACCACACATTATATTAATCCATTCATATGATATGACCAGAGCAGAGAAATCTATAGAGACAAAGATTAATGAATGCTTAGGGATGGTGGTAGAGGGAGCATATGGATAATACCTAAAAGGTAGAGGATTTCTTTTTGAAGTGATAAAAATGTTCTAAAATTGATCGTGGTAAGGGCTGAACAACTCAGCAAATATATTTAAAAACGTGAAATTTTTTGAGTGGGTGACTTGTATGGTATGTGAATTAGATTTCAACAAGGCTGTTATAAAAAAATCTAAAACCCAACCCTGAAATGCCTACTGTTAATAACATTTTGTTATATCTCTTCTAGTTTTACACAACTTTGCATTTTTTCCATAGTTTAGTTCATAGTTTATCTGTAGTTATTACACTGAAATTTTTTTGTTATCATTAATCTACAATTACATGAGGAATATTATGTTTACTAGACTACCCCCGTCACAAAGTACCCCCACCAACCCCATTACAGTCCGTGTCCATCAGCCCAGTAAGATGCTGTAGAATCACTAATTGTCCTCTCTATGTTGCACAGCCCTCCCCGCATTATACATACAAATCCTAATGGCTGCTTTCTTCCCCCAACCTTATCCCTCCCTTCCCACCCATCCTCCCCAGTCCCTTTCCCTTTAGTAACTGTAAGTCCATTCTTGGGTTCTGAGTCTACTTCTGTTTTGTTCCTTCAGTTTTTTCTTTGTTCTTATACTCCACATATGAGTGAAATCATTTGGTGCTTGTCTTTCTCAGCCTGGCTTATGTGACTGAGCATAATACCCTCTAGCTCCATCCAGGTTGTTGCAAATGGTAGGAATTCTTTTCTTCTTATGGCAGAATAATATTTCATTGTTCATATGTACCAATCATCTTTATCCATTCATCTACTGATGGACACTTAGGTTGCTTCCATTTCTTGACTATTGAAAATAGTGCTGCGATAAACATAGGGGTGCTTATGTCTTTTTGAAACTGGGTTGATGCATTCTTAGGGTAAATTTACATTCCTACCAGCAATGTAGGAGGGTTCCTCTGTCTCTACAACCTCGTCAATATTTGCTGTTGTTTGTATTTTGGGTGGTAGTGATCCTTACTGGTGTGAGGTGATATCTTAATGTGATTTTAATTTGCAATTCTCTGATGACCACTGATGTGGAGCATATTTTCATGTATCTGTTGGCCATCTGAATTTCTTCTTTGTAGAACTGTTTGTGCAGCTCCTGTGCCCATTTTTTAATTGGATTATTTGCTTTCTGTTTGTTGAGGTACATGAGTTCTTTATATATTTTAGATGTCAACCCTTTATCGGATCTGTCATTTATGAATATATTCTGCCATACTGTAGGATGCCTTTTTGTTCTATTGATGGTATCCTTTGCTGTACAGAAGCTTTTTAGCTTGATATAGTCCCACTTGTTCATTTCTGCTTTTGTTTCCCTTAACCGGGAGATGTGCTCATGAAGAAGTGGCTTATGTTTATGTCCAAGAGATCATTGCAAAATCCCCGCCACCACACCCACCCACCCACCCTACCCCCCCAGCTTTATTCTTCCTTCTCAGGAATGCTTTGGCTATTTGGAGTATTTGGTGTTTCCATATGAATTTTTGAACTATTTGTTCCAGTTCTTAAAGAATGCTGTTGGTAATTTGGTAGGGACTGCATCGAATCTGTATATTGCTTTGGGCAGGATGGCAATTTTGACGATATTAATTCTTCATAGCCAAGAGCATGGTATGAGTTTCCATTTGTTAGTGTCCTCTTTAATTTCTCTTAGAGTGACTTACAGTTTTCAGGGTATAAGTCTTTCACTTCCTTGGTAAGGTTTATTCATAGGTATTTTATTCTTTTTGATGCAATTGTGAATGGAATTGTTTTCCTGATTTCTCTATTAGTTCATTGTTAGTGTTTAAGAAAGCTACATATTTCTGTGTGTTAATTTTGAATCCTGTAACTTTGCTGAATTCCAACATCAGTTCTAGTAGTTTTGGAGTGGATTCTTTAGGGTATTTTTATGTACAACATCATGTCATCTGCAAATACTAACAGTTTGACTTCTTCTTTACTGATTGTATTCCTTGTATTCTTTTGTTCTGTTGGATTGCCGTGAATAGGACCCCCAGTACTATACTGAATTACAGTGAGGAAAGTCGGCATCCCTGTCTTGTTTACATTCTTACAGAAAAAGCTTTCCGCTTCTCTCTGTTAAGTACGATGTTGGCTGTGGTTTTATCATATATGACCTTCATTATTTTGAGGTACTTGCCCTCTCTACCCATTTTGTTGGGAGTTTTTATGATGAATGGATGTTGTATTTTGTCGAATGCTTTCTCAACATCTATGTTGATGATCATGTGGTTTTTGTCCTTCTTTTTGTTGATGTGGTAGATGATGTTGATGGATTTTTTAATGTTGCACCATCCTTGCATCCCTGAGATGTATTCCACTTGGTCATGGTGTATGATCCTCTTGATGTATTTTTGAATTTGGTTTGCTAATATTTTGTTGAGTATTATTGCATCTATGTTCATCAAGGATATAGGTCTGTAATTTTCTTTTTTGGTGGGGTCTTTGCCTGTTTTGTGTATTAGAATGATGCTGGATTCATAGAATGAGTTTGGAAGTATTCCCTCCTCTTCAATTTTCTGGAAAACTTTAAGGAAAATGTGTATTATGTCTTCTCTGTATGTCTGATAAAATGCCGTGATAAATCCATCTGGTCTGGGAGGTTTGCTCTTGGGTAGTTTTTTGATTACCAATTCAATTTCATTGCTGGTAATTGGTCTGTTTAGATTTTCTGTTTCTTCCTTTGTCAGTCTTCAAAGGTTTTATTTTTCTCGGAAGTTGTCCATTTCTTCTAGGTTTCACAGCTTGTTAGCGTATAGATTCTCATAGTATTCTCTAATAATTCTTTGCATTTTTGTGTGGTCCATCAAGATTTTTCCTTTAACATTTGTAATTCTGTTGGTGTGTGTGGATTCTCTTTTTTCTTAATAATTCTGGCTAGGGGCTTATCTATTTTGTTTCTTTTCTCAAAGAACCAGCTCTTGTCCTTGATTTTTCTATTG